TAGGCCCCAGCACTAATGTCTATTCGGAACCCAAGTTGAGACCTTGAAACTCACTCAACGGGTGGCTGGGAGGAAGGGGTTTTGCTATTGAGCCAGGTCTGGATTGCAGCCAAATTACTTACGGATTGGATCCAGGAAAGTGCTTGGTCTCCTCATTTCCAGCTGATTTTAGCACAGCTGAAAGTGCTCAGTATCTTGCAATGTCATGTACCAATGTAATTAAAAAAATAATAATTACACTGTATGCAAATATTTAGTCCTTTACCTAATGCATACCAATTCTGAGCCAGCAGAATGCCCCTTCAGCCAACTTATCGGTGCTTTTCTCTCATTATGTAACTATAATTATTTTCTCATCATTGCACTGGTCTTTTTTAATGCATAGATTACATGATGGAATAGAAAGAAGAAAAATATGTTCTTGTTTATTCAAGGGAAAAATTACACAAGTACTTTTATTGTAGGTCTTTATAGGCAAAGCAACTTGCTCAATAGGATGCAGTTTCTAAAATATCTTCATACATATTAGGAAATGGGGAATTAAACAAAAAGAGTGTTGTGATATTTATTGAGAGATAATATTCTCTTTCCCTTGGTTAAATGGTGATGCAAAAACATCCTTTCCCATAGGTTTAAATTATATTTTAATTAGGTTGTTATAAACTCACCTGTGACTTTATTTATCTTACAAAAATAATTCTTGTTTCCTGTACATCGTGGTTGGAGAATAGTAGTTTGTATGGGTTTAAACTACTTGTTTTGTTAAATTAAGGGCTTAGACTAATTAAAGACATTCTTAGGATGTCTTAGCTTTGTCCTAATAAATGAGATGCACAAGAAGGTTTGCAAAGATAGTTCCTTATTGCCCATAAATCTGTATTTACAACAATTGTAAACTCCAGAATGTAGTTTTATGACTCCCATTTCACTGAAAACTATACAGGCTATTACTGATGCGAGGGAGAAATATTCGAATAAGAACAATTTTGGGTTTGATTGCTCTTAATTGTGCTTTACGCTGAAGCTACTGTAGTCAATTAATCTTAAAAACTACTTAACTAAATGTAAACTTTCAACTTTTTCTAAGATTTTCAAAGTATTTTCAGAGAACCAAATACTTTGAATCTGAAAAAAAGAATCATGAAGATGTTTTGTTTCTAAGATCTTCAGCAGGAAAGTAATGCACACGTGCACTCACACATATACTTATTTATATTTGCAATTGGGTTTGTAAAAACCTGGAGGCGAAGCCTTCCCTCCTCAGTTTTCTTAGAGGCTCCTTACTTTTGAGTGCTTCACTTTCAGTCTTAGCAATTATTTTAGTCCCTCTTTCTTATGTGCAATTGGAATTTTGGAAATAATAAACATAAATTAAGGAATCTCAGCGTAGATTGTCATATTAGCCAAATGTATCAAGCGAAAAACACCCTTTAGATCCACCTTATAAAACTCTTCCACCCAAGCTAATGAATTAAGCGCTGTGGGCAAATATTAAGGCAAATATAAGTTACCAGGAACAATATGCAATATGCACTGGGCAGAGAGGGACCTGGGATTTGACTCCGGGTCCGCTGGTGACAAAGAGGACTAGATCTATCACAGCCTCACACTTCCACCAGATCCGAGCTCTCCTCTTGCTCATCCATCACGACTGAGCTTCTCTCTGGCCACAGCTGCCTTCCTCTCCATGATTTTTCAAGTCTGTCCCTTGATTGCCCCTCTTCTTCCCCATACGAGTGACCACAGCCACTTAACCCAGTGATCCCCGTTCCCGTCCCGTGCTCAACGCGGCAGCAGCCGGTGCCCCGTCATGCACAGATCTTCATAGCTGCTGCTTAGACAGACCAGAGAAAGGTCGGTCCAGGCTCTGGGCATGCCTCTGAGTTAATGACTGCAGTTAAAGCATCGGCATTAACTCAGAATTTTCTGGCTTTTGCCTTTTCTTTTCACAGCTTGACATTTTCCTAGTGTTTTGTTTTTCCTGGTACTCTAGAAAGACAGATGGGGAGGTAATGTCAGGGTAGAAGGCATCCAGCCTGCACCCGGATAGTGATGACTTTTGCTCCCTGGGGCTGGTCCTCAGCTGCTTGTCCCAAGGGCCACCAGGACCTTGCTCAGGACGATGTTGGTGCATGGTGGGAGTCAGGGCATCTCCTCAGGCTTCTCTGTGAGGCCAAAAAACAGAAAGAAAAGCCAAAAAGCTGCTTTGATACATGGAGGGATCGTCAACAAGGAGGGGTCAGCTCATGGACAGAGTGCAGAATTGATCCACTCACCTCCCAGACACATCTCTCTGATTTTCTGCAATGCCTTGGCAGAAAACAGATACTATCATGATACTTAATTTAAAGGTATCAATAGACAGTCACACTCCAACATCTTGAATTCCAAATCTGCTCTGAAGTCACACGATCATCCCATTGCTCCACAGCGGTGTTCTCTGTCTGGTCCTACCCATGTCTGCTTTGAACTATGACAGCTTGGGGCCATATTAAACATTTCCAGATCCTGATACCACTCAGAGTATTCCAGGAACAATTTCAAACAGTTACATACATGGATGCAACTCTTCCCAATGGCATTTTTATGAGCAGTGAAGATTTATCAAGGGGATGTAGCTCTGATGGCCCTCGCTCAAGGCGCTATGTGCTGCATCCCACGGGCTGCACAGCTCCTTCATGCCCACATCCTAGCTCTGGTGTCCAGAGGAAGCAAGTGGAATCAGAAATGTTTGGTTTACTTGTGAACTGAACAGCATATTCTGGATACTCATAATGCAACGCAATCAATCTGATCTAATCTTAAAAAAAAATAGTATAACATAATTGGCAGTTAAATTATTATTTTGCACCTCATGAAAACCAGTTAGAAGGAGAACATTCATGATGTGAACGATGCAGATCTTGAAGCTCAGTACATTTCAGAAGCTCCATATAGATGGTTTCTGCTCTGCATTTGCAGGGAAATTTCCAGTCTGGATTAATAATATAGTGGCAGTACTTCACAATGTCCTCCAATGTACAGAAGTAGCTATTAAACTGTCAACAGCACAAAAAGATGATATTTTGATGGCAATGGATAGGAACCCCATCTTCCTGCTCATGCTAGTCAACATTGCTGTAGCTTTCAAGCCTAGTCAACCCCAATTTGTCTCTGGCTGGCATTCATTGCATAGGCTGCTCAGATAGTTTGAACAACAGCTGTGCCAATCAATTTTTCAGGGAAAACTCATGTACATCAGCACACAGCCATGCCCTTTCCTTCTGCATAGACCTTCTCCATGCCCATTCCTTTGCGCCATCTACCTGGAGACCTTCAGAGAAGTTGCAGGACATGCCAGCCTCGCTGCTGGACCTGCTCTGCTGATATCGACCAGCATAATCCCTTTTCACAGCTGCAGCCAGAGATAGCATTATATCAACTGAATGAAGATCAGCCCTGGCTCAATTTCTGTCTCGGTACAGCCTGAGGGGAAGCAGTTCAAAGGATTGAGTTGGCCAGTATCTGTGTGGTTATCTTCTCCCTTTCTTCTTAACCTTTCCTTTAAAGCTGCACATCACCTAAGGGACAATTTCAACGCTAAGTGTAGGTGAAAAAGTGGCATTATTTGGGGTGAAAGCATTTTCTTCACCTGTTGTTAGAAGTCCACCATAAGAGGATGTAAAGGCAGAAGGGATCGCTATGTTCAACTCCTCGAAACCTTATCACGTTTGCAATATGGAAGCAACAGCAAATTCTAGTCCATGCCAAAATCTAGCAAATTTTCACAGACTCTTCCATTTCTGCTGCAGTTTTAAGCTGGCAATCTAAGTCCTTAGTTATTTTCAATGCCAAAAGCTGAATAAAGTTGTGCATGTCTAAAAGAGTCTAGAATAAAAATACCAGAGCTACAAATAAGTTTTATGTGTAAGAACTCGGGCAAAATCCTATGATTTCATATTCTTATGCTCCAAGAGATTTTTCTTCAAGAAACCTCCCCTGCAATAACAAGAGCCATGAGAAAATGGTGGAAGAAGAAATGGGTCCAATTGGCTTGCTCTAGAAATCCATAGCAGTAAACATTATGAAGATTCCCAGGAAACTTCCACCAGCCTAATTTCCATGAAAACATCACAGTGCTCTGAACAAATCTTAAAATCAATGCAAAACTCTGTGATTTAAAGATTACCGAAATCACTATAACCAAGTGATATTAGATATGCACTAAAGGCCTCATCCTTCATAACAGCAAATGGATTTTAAGGAATTCGTGCTTATTGACTGCACATTTTCACTGTTTATGCCTGTCCTGAGTCTTTCTGTGCTTGGCTAAAGCATTGCTTCTAGAGAAGGATCTAGGAAGAAAACAGAGCTCACAGCTGTGCTCAGGAGCTCGTTCTTGCAGGCGATCAGATGTAGAACACCTAGGTTTTGCAAGGCAGGTGTTAGTTATTTAGCAGTGCAAGAGGTCATTGCAGAAATATGTGCAAAAGCATGTGTGAGCTGCATACTTCTAGCTTTCCTCTCAACTCTGCTCAAGAAGCACTTGAACAAAGAGCCTGCCTTCAATATTTAAGCCAAGCAAATGAAACATTCATGGGCTGCAGCTAGATCCTGTTGCTGTAGCTGAGTGGACTCATGCCTGCCTGAGCAAGGGTGGAAATGGTCATCAGAATTAATATTTGAGCAATGCATTTAGAGGCAGAAATTCGAAGCAATCAGACTAAATAAACCAGCAGGGCCCGGGTTTTACCATCGCAGATAACCCTCGCTAATTGGGGTGAGCTCTTGCTGGAGACAAAGAATGCAACGCAGGGTTGCGTCCGCGCCGCCTGGGCTGCATGCTAATGCGCAGGGCGATGCATGAATTATTCAGGCGGCCGCGGGCGCGCGGGCACAGCCTGGCTTTGCCTGTCACCAGTGCAACAAGTGGCGGCGGAGCCCCCTGCGCCGCGATGCCCTCCGGGGAGCGGAGACCCGCGCGCGGCAGCCCCGTGCAGCGCCCGGCGCAGCCCTGGGTGACGTGGACCCCGCGGACCGAGTCCTTTGTGACTCAGGTTTACTTCACCCTGAACTACGGCTCGTGGAGGAAGACTTGTTGCTTTGGTAAGTTGATGCAACTTCTGATGTTTTGGGGTCAGCAGTCTGCAGGTCGCGGTACGCATAACACAAATCTTTTTAGCACTTTTTCTAAAAACCAGCTTGCACCCTTTCTGTTTTTAAAATGACCTAAAGGATCCTGAAAAGACAATCAAACTTTTTCTTCCAACCCCAGAATATGTATAAACGTTATCTACAGAGCTGACATTGAAATTAAAAGCAAGCCTTTTTATATTACCTTGTATAGTTTAAAATATATTTCCTGGAATTCAAATGGCTTTAGCACACTATTAAAACTGAATATATTTATGATCTGAGTTTGATTTATTGCTACCAAAACTGAGGCTAATATAATTCAGTGTCAAACTGGAGAAGCTGAATAAAATTATATTGCTTTTCATGAGAAATTTTGGTTCTTTCCTGTAAGTATAATGATGCTCTTTATTCAGCTAAGTACATTTCTGATTAGTTTGGGAACAGAAACTGAAACTCATATAACATTCTTATGATGCATTAACTATGCTGTTGCATTGCAAAATAGTTGAAAAGCATTAGTAACTTAATCTGTTCTTCTAAGGCTACAAAAGAGATATATTTTGTGTGTATAGCAGGAAGTCAGGCTAGACTTACTGAGCTATTATCAATACAAGGTGAAAAACATGAAGAAAAAGTTTTGATTTAAAAAGTAAGACTGTAAGTTTTTCCTCTTTATCTCTACTTGTTTTCAGCTAGATAGTACAGGTACCGCTTCTTTTATTTTTCTTTGTTTTGCTCAGGAAAACATTTCATATGTCATCCAGAAGACAGCAATATCTTGAAGGAATAAAAGTACAGCATAATGTCTTATGTATTAGAAAGAAAGAAAAACACATAAGGTGAAAATAGGGATATGTACATGAAAGGAACAATGCAAACTATAGGTACAATCCTACTCTCTATAACCATGGGAATAACTCTTATTCACTGAAGGAACCCTGCAGCAGCAGGCGCTGGAGTGCAGGCCCCATGTTTTCCACGGAGATAACTGTATCTGCCTTACCTAGCTGTTCTGTAATGCACTTTTAGCGACACAGTTCTTAGTGATGTGTTTGAATGCATTAAAGTGATAATATTAAATTAGACTTTACGAAATGTCTATTTTGCTTCTACAAGGATAAAAGAGAAAAATGGAATAATGCATTACATGTGTCAGGAAGAAGGTACAAACCGCACGCAATTTATTACAGAAATGTGCTTGCAGTGGAACAGCACTGCTCACCTTGGTAACGGTATTCATAGAATAAAGAGCCTTTTTTGATAGGGGAAGTATATAAACTTTGCTTCTTTCAAAGTGGTTAGGATAGAACTTTGACAAAAGAGAACCATGACCTATATGTCTCATGGAGTATGTATAGATCACTATGGAAGTGAAGTGGATAAATTTAGTCCCCCTCTCTGACTTAAAAATACATAGGTTTGGTGGTAATGTCCTATGAATGTTTTTATTGCTATTATGGTATCAAAGCTTGTCCAAATAGCACCTTGAGATCTGTTTTACCAATGTATTTTGCTAAATGCTGCAATTGCTCTACGCTCCTCCCCTGCTCCGCTTTGCAACTCCGTGCTTCCTTTGCAAGTCCATGTTGTTCTGCTCTCCCCAGATAGTGCTACTGTTAATGAGGGAAAACTAATCACTTAAAAGCCTCTGGTACAATAGGGATGGAAAGAATATACTGTATCAGACTGTTTCTGGTGCTCTATGAGCTGTCAACTGCTGCTGCTGTGGGATCCCAACTGCACTAGCACCAATATGAATGTTATCCTATAACCATGACAGCAGTAGCTGGGAAAAAAATGCTTATCAGATGGATATATTCTCTGAAGACACCAAAAAAGAAATGAGAGGAAAAAGCAATGCAGATGGTAGTATACCAACTTATCAATTGAAATCAATATTAAGTATTTGTTGGCTTTTTCTTGGTTGCGTTATCAAGAATGAACCCATCATTCTCTAGTTAGCTTCATGGCACGGACTCTGAGCTTGTGTATTTGTACATTGGTGAACTCTGTTGGTGGAAATAACTTGCACAGACAGGTTTTACTGAAAGAGTCCAGGTTTAGGCTGCACAGTTGTTCGGGGTATAGCGCTGGAAACAATAAAATGACCCGGGCTCAAGTTCTCCTATAGCCTATAGAAGAAACTGGAGCAGCCCTTAGGAACAGCATTTACTTTCTCTGACTCCATGTAACATTAAATCTCTCTGGATAGGTCCTTTCTATCACCTGTCCACCCTGTGGCAAGGATAACTCAACTTTTAATTATTGGAGGATCCCACAGGCACTGGAATTACACATTAGCTTGAACTTTGTGAATGCTTTTTTTCTTTTCTTGTAGATCCCTTCTCCTTTATTTGTTTAATTATAAAAAATCAACATCTAGCCAAAAGAATCTGGACAAAAAGAAGAAAAATAAAGTGTTCTACTGCAGCTCAGCTCCCACACAGGCTTCCCAGAAAATAGCAACTAAGCAAGAACAAGGTCTTTGAAAGGATGTTGACCTGCAGCTCTAGCACAGGTAGTATGTAAGGGCTCAAAATAAAAGAAGTTTCGAAGTGCAGGAAGCGAAATTGTTCCCAGCTGTTGTTTGGCAGTTGTCTGGGAGTCAGTGGCAGGGAAAGTGGAAGGACTGGAAACGCGAGTAGGCAGCGAGCAGGCGTGCGGATGGAGCGCCTTCTGTGAGCTGCGGGCCTGGAAAGGCCTGGAAAGGCCTACAGACAGCTCAGCATAAAGCCCCTTGCTGCCATTGTCACACAGCCCCTCAGTGGAAAAAAGCAGGAATCTCTGAAACGTATTTTTCTACAGGATGTGCAGAAGGGGTTAAGATAAACTGGGATGCTGCCACACTCTTTCTAGCAGCCACAGAGGGGTTTTTCTCTTGTACTTCTTGCTGGGTGGAAGACATCTTAGTTCCCAGCTCACCCAAGTTTGTTCTCATAGAAAGCACTTGTGAAGTAACTAGTTGTGACATCTTAAACAAACAAACAAAAAAACCCTCATCATCTGTTTGTATAGGATAAAACCATATATATGTTTTTAAGCAGCTTTCTCCCTTTCCTGCATCCTTAGGACCTTTTATCCTATGGTTATATTTTAGTAGAGAAAATTATTCCTGCTTGAGCATTACGAGAGGCTTATTTTCCATGTTAGATCCACTGATTCTGCAGTGGCATTTCTTTGCAGATGTGCAAGCTCAGGTGGTTTTACTTTAGCAGTTTATTGGACTTCTCTTTTTGAGTGTTAGCAGATATGATTGTATTAGCTTGTATGTATGTACTAGGTAGGACAACAGCACAGGCAACACTAGGATACATATGAACGTTTTGGAACTAAGATTTTAATTTTTCCCTGCCAATTCTTTTGCGGTAAATCCATGTTTGTAACTGAGTGGCCAGACTTGGAGGAGTCGGCCCTTCCTTGTTTAGATGGTCCATCTCAACCGCCAGATTACTCTCTCTGCAGGCCTTCTTCTTTCATATAACATTTATCTGGTTTCGCATAACATTTCTGTCTCTGCATTCCTGCAGGGAGGGAGATGTGGGCAGGGAAAAGTCACACTCAAGCCTATGTGGTTGGCCCTGGGCCCAAACCTGTCTCTAATTTGACTCAGTAATATACAACATGCATTAATCACAGTCGTCTGGTTGTGTGGCACCTTAGTCACCCTTCAAGAGGCTTGCAAAGCTCATGAAGTGTAAGATTCCTCCTCAGATTTTGAACTTGCCCAGGTTTTTGGTCAAGTTCTGCTTTGCAAGTCTTCAGGGATCACCTGGCTCTTTTTGTTCTGTGCACACCCAGTCATGACACCCAGAAATGTCCAGGAAAGATGAGATGTCTCAAGCAGTAGACCTGATAGGGGAAAGATAACAGGGCCCTAAACTCTGTCCTGCTGCAGAGGCTAAAATCATCAGAGCTACATAGGGGAAAGCTCTAGATCTGAACATCAGCCTGAAGTTATTTGAATGCTGCGGTGTTGTCATGGCAGACAAGTAGAGCCTCTCTCCTGGTCTTGCATCCTCTACCTGATGAGGAAAGAAAAATTGACTGGAGAATTTTTGTTGCTCAGCCTTCAAGGACAAATACTGACCTGTTGCTAATACTCTTTTTTGTGCTGTGAGTGCAACTACCTGGAAGGGTGTATTCATTTTTCAGTTGACAAAATGATGTCTTTCAAAATGACCTCTAGCATAAAAAGTCATAAATGTTGGCGGTAAAAGTGATAAATGATACTTTCAGAAGATAAGCCTTTTGATTTTTAGCATAATTTTTGCATAATTTTGTATGCATAATTTGCTTACATTCAAAGTATTAGTAGACACTGGCATCTCCCTCAAACTTCTATAGCAGTGAGCGAATACTGGAAACTATTTGATATTTCCTTGGTTTGAGGCATCAATGGCCTCGGAGAGAAAGACATTATTTTTCAATCAAGTCTTTAATTATTTCCTGAGTTGAAAAAAGAGTTAATCTATTATTACTGGCAAGACAGTCACTTCACTTGTGGGTGAATCTTAAAAAACCTTTTTAGTTGCTGTCAGAATCAAGTGATCTGTGTGAATTATTCTGAATAACGTGGCATTTTTCTGTAGCAACTGCTTTGTCATTCTTGGTGTTTTCACATTTCTTGGCAACAGAGTTCCCAGAGCTTTGTTCTAGGAGCTACAGTGGAATTATTTTTATGATCCACTCCTTTGGCATGATGTCTGACATCTGACAGTCCACCAGGAACGACTGAGAAAACTGCCTAAACTACTGCCAGTCTTAACAGCAATTACTGCTGCATGTTTTGAACATGAATAACCTTCCCTGATGTCCCTGTATGGGATGCACAACTGCTCTCCAAGTCTCTCTTGACTGTCTCTTGACTTGTTGGTGCCACTTTACCAGGAATAATGAAAGTCTTGCTCCAGACAGGGTTGTATGAAAACAGCCAGTGTTACGGCATTGCTGCCTGTACGGAGCCTTTGGTT